GGGTAATAAATAAAACCAATTTATTGTTAACAAAACAAACAACGTGTAGAAATTATAGTAAATGTATAAATGCTTTAATGTTTTCTTCATTGCTTCGTCAATCTTTCTGAATCTAAATATGACATCAATCTTTTTGTCACTTGGAATTTTCGAGAAATTTGTTCATCAACTCAAAAATGTGTATATATCTCGTACGTTTTCACATGAATATCCTATTGCTAGATTCAACGACATACAGAGCTTGAATAAATGACTTTCTTCCGCATGAATGATTGAACTTTCTTGAAGAAACCTTTCTCTGTAGCAGTGTCATCATTGCTTAGACCTAGCACATGGTTTGAAGGGTTCTGTTGCGAAGCCCAATGAAATAAAACAGACCCTAATACTAAGCCCTGAAACCTTCAATTCCTACTGGCAATTGGGCAAATACATTTCTCTATTTGTCTTTTTCCATGGTTCAACTTTGCTTTTGATTACAAGTCTGTTGTGGTAATTTCTATGCCTTTTTCAGCCAAGGCTAATGCAATTGTCAAATGTATTGTCAAACCGTCCACTTTCAGAGACAATCAGACATAAAAAACTATGTATTTGGATTCTTGGTAATGTTTCTCCGGAATTTTGAAGACCCTATTCACGAAAATAACGTTTCAACTGAAAACCAAAGTTCATTTTCCGCGTGAAGATGTCACTTTTCTTGGGACAACACCTAGCCTCGACCTCGACGATTCTACTAGAGCAGTCTAGTCTCGAAACACTTCCATCCATCTAAGAGCCGCGTTTTATTTCCGTCACAAAAGATTATTCGAGGCAAAAGTCGAGTTTTTCGAGAGGGTTTCTCTTTGAGAGACGGAAGTGGTTGTGTTGATGTAGCGACTGCTTGCTATCGTAGCCCCGATGCCTATACATAATACATGCGAGACGCGAAACGCTTAGGAAAATCCACGAGGTAAATTCGGCGTGAAGGGGAAATAAGGATTTCCACCCTCTGGAGAGCTGGCGGCAGAATGGTAAATGGGTGGACATTTTTATTGATTCTAAAGAGTGTGGAATTGAATTATAATTTCAATTGTCGTCGAATAGAATCATGATCTTTCATATCTAGCATTCAAGAAAAATATCTGCGAATGAAATTGATATTCCCATATCGGGGTGAAAGAACGCCTCTCAAACAGCAATGAAGAACTCGCTCCGCGGTAAGTATCAGCACAAAACTTGACAGATCTGATCATAGGAACTGTCGGAGAAAAACAAAGTTGCTCCAACAAATATGCTTGCCGTTCCAATATGACTCTACTCGTCTAAAGTAGTGGAGTAGACTCGGGAAGAGCTGAATCAACCTGACGAAAAAACTTGAAAAATGTCTCATCTTCATGGGAGTTTGCATCCCAACCGTTCCACGGTAGTACTTTCCCCGACAGGTCATGGACAGGTCGTGGAAGTTTGAGTTCGGAGTGTCTACATAGCAGAATGGTCCTGGATGGAGCGTTTCTCTTCAGGGCAGATCCTCGAGAAGCTGGTGAACTCTGTTTAGTTTTCGACACTGGAAGTGGTGATCAAAACTTTGTCGCCTACTTGGAACCCGTTCAGCAAGAGCTCCATATGAAAGCTGCCAATCCATGGGGTCTTCTTCAACAACACCGAAGACCTTGGCTTATCAAAGCACCTGATCTTCGCTTCACTCAGGTCGAGTGGGATGATGTCGGAAACTGTGAGGTTGATCATGGTCTGTCAGGATGGTGTCTTCAACAACTTAGTCTACTAAAGTCACGTGATGTGTCACCTTGTCAAAAGTATCACTGTAGAAGCCAGCTCGTCCACCCAGTTGGAGGTTCAAAGTCGAATCCCCTTGTCGTGAATCAATGAAAGTCAAACCCAAATAACTTCCTCAAAGTCACCTTGACTACATCGTGCGCCGTAGGTGAATGTCGTTTTGAGTTCAAAAGTGGTGGGGGAAGGTTTCAAAATCGGCTTTAATCAACTAATGGGAAATTGGTACTCAGTTCATACGTGAGCTCGAGTTAATTCAATTTTCCATTCATTCAAAAAGGTTTGTGGAGATTTGTTCCTAATATTCGACAGTTTTGAATCAGTTTATATCTAACCTCTGGTTGAAATTTTCAGTCATCAAGTAGGTAGATGGTCATATGAGTGAGAATGGTAATTCATATGAAACTCTTGATCGGTGGAAGTTAGTATACATACGGCTGAGGAAGCTCTTGTCTTCCAAAAAAGGATTTCAGGACTTTCACAATTGATAACGGCCATGCCATCGGTCAAATCTCCTGATTTATATCCGTTGTTATATTTCACACATAATAGTATCAATAGATCTTCCAAACGGTTAAAAAAATTTGATGATATCTCACACACACTTTTTAACTCAGAAAAGTTTGATCCTATGTCACATAGTTGAAAAATTTGTACGCTAATCGAAGAGTCCAAGACCCATATCATCATCAGACTCTTCAGGTTCTTCTTCCTTCTTCTTTTGCTCCTTGGCAGGCTCAGCAGCAGTTGCTGCCGCAGCTGGAGCTGCAGCACCTCCTGCCGAAGGTGCACTTCCTACTCTAATGTTGGTGATCAGTTCCCTGACGTTGATTCCTTCTAGCTCTTTCTCAAATGAACCAGGCCAGTATGGTTCTACGTCAACGTTGGCTGCTTTGAGAATGGTCTGGATTTTCTCACCAGTCACGGCAATATCATCATCAACCAGAATTAGGGCTGAGTAGACACAAGCAAGTTCGACGTCATTTTTCTAATTAGTGCAAGTTGCCGTTTGGCCTTAGCTCAATGAGAACAAACACACGTTCGTTTCAATTGAATGAAGAACAACTTTGTTTTATTTCAATTCAAAAAAAGGAAGCGCCTAATGAAAGACCTATATACTGAAACACGTGTTTCGGTTTTGTGAAATGTTCAGTGAAAAATTCCACAATGAAGTGCTTCTCAAATACGTTCTGGATGTCCATCAAGTTGTGGCTCATTTCATCACGGAACAAATGCTTTGCATCAAGAATACAACCAAGTCGATACTCATTTTTCTCCACAATATTGTATCATCCATCCTATGTAATGAATGAATACTGCGCAGTCCATTGACAATACCTCAAAAACCCCAATATAAACTCCTCTTATCTCTTCGTAGATCCCATCGGGCCCAAACCCTTTGAAAAGACATGTTTCAAGCGCAATATTTCGGAATTACTGGTTCTTATGAAGCGCACAAAGCTTCATAGTGGTGCTTTATGGGAAAATTCGCCGGGTAAAGACTCTATTGGCGGACATAATCCCATGTTGGTTCAATAAAGTGTGCTACGAGACCGGTCACGTTTATTTACGAGCTACCAACCCAAATATATTAACTTCAAGGGCTAGACCGACCCGAATGGAAGGAAGGGGGTAAAGTACACAGAAATCTCGAGTACGGCTTTACGTGGGATACGTGTTTCACCTATGGATGTGTGGCACGTGTGTTTTCCTGAATAGGAATGCGGTGAGATTTATAATGTGCAGTGTATTTTGGAAGAGTATAGAGGGAATAGAAAAAGGATCTTTATTCAGGGTGAACCTTTAAAAACATACCCCTAGGAATTAGTGCCAGGGACACAGTTATGCTACAGCCTTACTCAACAATATTGATGATACGATAAACCACGGAATATTACTCTCCATTTCACATTTTTATGGTTTTCCGAACACTGCTATTGGTCTTATGTTTGATCATTTATTGTAAATGAGTCAATATGTATATACAGCTGTGGGTCAGTCAGCGAGAGAAGAAGTCACTTGTGGGGTTTCACACGGGTCTTTACTTGACCTCGCACTATTTAGTATACAGGGTGTAACCAAATGAAAGTAAAACATTTAAGGTGATGATTTCTCATCGAAAAAAAGATAAGATCATTCAAATAAAGGATTTTAATTGGAGCATCCCTTGTTAAGATACAGACCCTTAAAGGGGGTACATAAAATTTGTATAATTTTTTTTCACAAGCACTAAAAAAGTTACAATATTGAAATTAATCTGCCAAATTTATTTGGTTCACCCCAAGGTTGTAAGGGGTGGAAAACGCAACCCCTAAAATTCATTTCCAATGTAACTTTTTGTATTATTATTTGTTTGCCATATAAAAATTCATTTCTGATAGCCTGTTTTATTCTAAACAAAAAATGTCTCTTGGGTTTTTTGCCCAAAATAAACCAGTTTGCAGCAAAAAATTATTTTAGGAAAAACTACAGAGATACATCGTCATAAATACGAAAATACGAAACTAATCTATCTAGTAGGTCGCTATTAGCGATGGTGACAATCAAATTGATATGACGCTGTCAGTTTGTGAATTTTAGAAATTGAATTAATACTAATTGTGTGTTGCTGTTCTGTTCTCAATTTGTTACTTTAATAATTCACTTGTTATTAAAATGGCATAGACAAATGAGGAAATGGCATTACGTTTACGATCTGTCGCAGGGGAATGGGTTAGAAGCTTCTAGAAGATATGCTGAAATGTATCCCCAACGGTAGCATCCTCCACATAGAATATTTGCTCGACTTCATCAACGATTACGTGAATATGGTTCATTCGACAAAAGAACGCAGGATTATGGTCGCCATCGAGAAGGACGAACACCACAGCTTGAGGAAGCAGTACTTAATTTGATTGAAGAACACCCTATTACCAGTACTAGAAAGATTGCTTTCCAGTTGAATGTTGATCATATGAATATCATCATATTTCGAATTTTGAAGGAACAACTCTTTTACCCTTAATGAGCTCAATTCTGTCATTCATTTCAATTTGATTTAAATCTAATTAACTGTACTTAAACGGTGTAGTAGATATCATAGCCTCTGTTTTGTTGACATTCAGCTTCAATTTATTACTTTTTGAATATGTATCAATATTATTCGATGCTTCATTCATTTTATGAATAGCTTTATCTATATCTTTATCACTAACAGATACTAGGGCAACATCAGCAAAATAATGTCCATAATCACATTACATTCACTGATATCATCAATGTAAATTAACAATGGCAATGGCCCTGAAATACTTCCCTGCGGAACCCCGTGGTCTACGCTTATTGCTGTTGAGACTAACTCAATAATTTGGGTTACCTGCTTCCTTCCTCTAAGGAAATCACTGATCCAATCAAGTACTTTACCTTCAATGCCATATTTTTTTATTTTTCAAATTGATTTATTGATTTGAAATATAAATAAAAATTGATGAAAATTGTTTGGTGATAATTACTTATGATAATAACTATTACTGATACGTGTAATGGAAAAAATGGTCTCTTTTGTTGAACAGTGACATATGTTTCTCATGTAAAACTGACTATTTTGTTATGTTTACATGGTTATGAGTGTTTTGCAGTGTCCTAATTACTACTTGACACCTTCATGGTTTGCATATCTTTTTTTTTGTATATTATATGAAGACTCATGTCATTCCAATTTTCAGTATCTGCAGTTCTGAAAAGAAGGTTGCAAATTCAAACAGAGTATCGTTTACTATATTTAATTCAACCGTTGTTCAGACAATTCCACAATGATTATCAGATTCATCAAAAATCATTTCTAGTTTGAATTTGAAGACAAAATTTCTCTCGAAGTATTCATTTCATTCTCCATGAGCCACTCAAAGTTTGGATTTGTCGAAAATGTAACGAAAAACTGCATTTCATTAGTTCAGACTTCCATTGTCTAGTATGATATAAACTGATTTGAAATCCCTGAAAGAATAAGTTGAATGATTCCAAACCAAGTTAATTCACCACGTTTCGATTTTTTGTATCCACAATCGTCTTCGGGTGATAACTGGAGTTATTCTTCAGAGATCTGAATATTTATAGGTCACTCGAGTGCTTTCACCTGTCCCCTCTTTCCTCTCTACGCTTCATCAGTTTTAGCGGGAGCTGATCGTTTGGCGGGAGTTGGTCGTCTTCCGCTTGATTAGGGGTTTCTATTTGTTGCGTATCTCTACGCTAGCTTGGCTAAATGCGTTGTTAGAGAAGATATATGCGGCTTCTTTGAATTTTCTCTTGAACCAGTGTTCCTTCTTGTGGATGATTTCAGCTTGAGCTCATTTGATATTATGCTGATGAGTCCAAATATGCTCTGCTATTCCTGATTTGCTGGTTTATTCTAGCTGTGTGCTTGGCAATGCGAACTTTCAATGGCGTCTCAGTTTCACCGACGTATGATTCTCCGCACTCGCAGGGTATCCGGTATATGCAATTCTTGGAACCGCAGTCTGCGTTTGGTGGCCTAGTTTTCGTGAAGCTGCTACGGATAGTGTTCCCAGATCTGAAACAGATTCTGATGTTATACTTGGACCCAATCCTTATCATTTCCGACAATCCTCTGATGTAGGGAAGTACAAGTACTGGTTGTGGCGGCTTCTCTGGAGTTTTGCTTACTTCTAGCCAAATTCTGATCCACCATCGCTTTGGAGTAACTATTCCATTGAAGGTAATTTTTGATGATGCCTAGTTCCTCGAATGGCCTATTAATGGTCAGATCTCCGAGGCATAAGTCCAGTTATCACCCGAAGACGATTGTGGATACTAAAAATCGAAACGTCGAGAATTAACTTGGTTTGGAAACATCTAACTTATTCTTTGAGGAATTTCAAATTGATTTATATTATACTAGACAATGGAAGTACGAACTAATGAAATGCATCATGGCACATTGTCAACCATCTTCAAACAAAAGCTGAACACTCTTCAATTTTTCCTACGTCTCTGGTAAACAACCACTCCAATTCAATTCATGGCAATCAATCAGGTCCAACAGACCATAAATGGCACCAAAAACTCTGGAAATTTTTCATTTCCAATGCTTATATGATTCCGTACATCATCCGCACGAAAAAACGAGAATACGAAATTGGTAGAGAGAATATGATGAATGTACGAGCCGGAATGGAAACTAATGTGTACCTGGTGAGTTGGACTCGAATGGAAACGAACCGGGAGTATAAATTCCGGTTATATATCGCCTGCTAATAAGGATCCTTATACATGAATTTCCCGCGAGATTTTTCATTGGGAATCGCACAAAACTATATATTTCATTTTGCCGCGAGGCAAATTTTTGGAGATCGTATTGATTTCTCACTTGTTTTTATGGATATCTGGTTAGGGGAACAAGTATTTGATCATGTATGTTTTCCAGCAAATATAAAGGAATGGAAATATTTCAGCACAGCAAGTCTCGATTTTGATTGGAGAAGGAAAAAGTTATGAAAATTCAAGAAAGTCAAATGAAATATCGGTGAATTATTGTGTTTCGAAAATCATAGATGATTATGATCACCAGTCAAGAATAAAGCTGCAGACAACCCCTTCATGAGCACTGACTCATGTTCATTCCAGAATGTCGCAACCAAACACCTTCAGTTTTCAACCATTCGTCCTCCTGACGAACCTTAGTTACGCGAAGATGACATTACGGCATTGTACTATCTGCGTTGAGAACAACTCGAGCACCTCGACCGTTACCTCAACGCCTCTGAAAATGTCTACCGCAGTAGTAGACGATACGTCAGGTATAAAAAATCTGCAAACCATTGCCAAAACTCAGAAAATAGCTTCGAAACTTTTATTGAACTATCAGGATATAATCATAAAATTTGTCTACCTATGACTTGGGTACCATCAACTAACCATACAACGAATGAAATTTTATAATTAATATTGTGCCAATGTTACATCTGTAACTTCTTCGGACTCCATAAAACA